TCTTTTTTGTCTCTCCTATGTGATCCAACGTGCTAAGTGAGAATTGCATGTCTAAATTGCTTTCCTTGCTTTTCTTTAGTTCCTTTATTTCATTTACTCTTGCTTTTTGTTAAGTTATTCTTTTATGGGGTATGTGTACACCTCTTGGCTTGTAATAGTTAGGGATTTAATTATTTTATTCCTTTTCCCCCTTTTAGATTGTAGTAGGGTCTCCCTAATGTAATAGATACGGCTTGGAGGAGCATTCAATGAAGACCTATCGAAGTCATGTGCCTAGCTAGCAAATGTAATAGTTAGGGTTTTAATTGTCTTATGTGTCTTGCATGCTTAGTTACTACGTGTTAATTTGCTTTGTTAGGGCCTTGCATTTAGTCGAACATGCTAAATGTTATGTGCTATGTGTTTATAAGTGTTTGGCATGTCTACTCGCTTTCTTTAGCCTGAATGAATGTGATGGATGAATGTACGTTTCCACTAGTCCAACGCTAGTCGGAATTCATAGAATGGGCTAGTCCAACGCTAGACCTTTAGGGATTTCCCCTCGTTAGTACATGTTTGCATGTTCATTACATGTCATGCATTCTTTTTAGTTTTATCATTTTGCATGCCCCTCGAATCCCTTTTCCCTCCATTTTAGGATTTTTGCATTTCATGCTAGTTATAGGGTTCATTTGCTTGAGAGTCCCCTTAAATATGGGATATAGACGAGTGTGGCTTTTTCTAAGCCTTAGCTCGCTTGTATTCCCTCTATAAAAGGGCAAATTGAGTCACGATTTAGGTCTCCCCGTACCCAATATGTATGAATTCCCTAGGCTCATGCATTTTTTAATCCACTCTACCATTTTATACCCTCATCACACTTTCATTTTTCCTTCCATTTTGCACACGTGCACCTTTATGTTTCTTCACTTGCACACGAACACTTTTATCACCACTTGCACACATGCACTTCATATTATTATTTCACATACCGTATCTTGCTCACTCACGTGCACATTTTCATTTACATATTTATTGTCTTTTATTACTTTTTCAAACTCATATCCTCACATTGCATACATGCATTCCATTCATTTGCATCCCACTCGCATTATTCGTGATTTCTTCAAAGGATCGTTATTGGGCTTCACAATTAATGTGATTGGCACCACTCAACCTTTGAAGAGAAATTTTCCCCAATACCCCTAGGTCTAGGGTTTGCATTCATGTAGTGCATCCAAATGTAATAAATTCTTTGGTTAAAACAAGAAAATTTTTGATTAAATCATGCAACTAGCCTTGGCTAGGTCAAAGGGGTGCCTTGGATTTTATCCTTGCCTTCCCCTTTGTCAAATGTGACTCCCGAACCTTTTTTCTTTGGTTTACGTGGACTAGGAGTCGTTTAAAAGGGGTTTCTTACTACTTTTTCCTATTTTTTCTTTAAAAATTCATTTTTACGTGATTTGGTACACCTTAACTTATTACCAAGTGGCGACTCCAATTTTTTATTTCAAAAAACCCTTTTTAAACTATAATTTTGGGTCAAATCGTCGCATTCTCAAATCCCCATTTAGACCCACTTTTCTTTTAAATCACAATTCATTTTCTAATCACAAATTGAATCAAAAAATACATTTTTTAAACCATTTATTTATTTATCAAAAAAATGGGGCGCGACAGTAAGCAAATAATTTCTAGTCATTATTTGGCTATCCAAACACAATTATAACATTATTTTGAAAATCAGAATTTTCCGTATTGTATATTTCTAGTTGTTTAAAGTATATACAAAAATTGAAATTGAATTGATTACATTTTACATGGGATCAAATTTTACAATTTTAGTCACAATTTTGACTCTTTTTATACCGTCAAAATGTTTTGTATAAATTACATGACGAAATATTCATTTTTAAGTATACTGATCTTCTTGTGGAAATAAAATTATTGATACAAACAGATTGTTGTAAAAATAGCTAATTGTGAAAATATTAAAAAATAGATAGATAAATGGAGAGAAAGGTAATAAATAGAGTGGATCTCACCCCCTATTTAATATGGTGGAGGAGTTAGATATAATTTCTAGCGGGAGCAAAAACCAAATTACAGTTCCCTTCAATTAGGACATAATAAAAATATTCACATACCATAAAATGATAATCGAATTCTCAATCTTTGTGTCTCTCTCTGTTTTTTTTTTTTTTTGTCAAACTTGAATGCACCATTACAACAATGAATTTCCTCAAAGATTATATAAAAGCTTTTACAATTGCTTGAGATGAGTTTTTTCATGTTTGGCATTTTATAACATTCATATTTACAGCTCAGTGAAAAGGCGAGAGATGATTGGGTGATCAAAGGAGGAGAAAGAAGATTGGGTGAGAGATCGAGAAGAGAGCTACTGTTTTTGTGCAGCAGAAGAAGATCTAGAGAACAGTTAAGTAGATAATTGCTTTATAAGTAAATTAACCCAAAAAAAAGTACCTCTTGTTTTACTGAAAACTGTCTGTACAAATCGTTTAATTATTGAACAATAAACTATAACAAGTTCCAATGGAACTATGTGATTTTGGAAAATTTTTGGATTCTTTATCCAATTATATGAAGTTACAAAAACAGTTATAGTGGGGGCAAAATAAAATGTTTTCAAAATTATAGCGGTAATAGTCAAATTTTCACTGCCTCGCACTAAATGTTCCACTAATTTGATGCTTGAGAGTAGAAAATTCGCAGTTTGACAATCAATTGGGTACATTCTCTTTGTGTCCTTAAATTGTAGACTTGCTTCTACTTCAGTCTTTAAACTTCAATTTCAAACACTTTACTTCCTAAAATATGAAATCCTATCCCATTTTAATCCTTAAACTTCAATTTTGACCACTTTAACCTCTAAAGTATTAAACTCATCCCACTTTAGTTCTCAAATATTGAGCATCACTTGCCTAACAATTTAAATTTTAAACAATCAAATATTCCGTTAGTTGTGATACTCTGGTGAGAAGGATTTCATTTTTTAGGCTGTAAAGTGTTTGAACTTGGAATTTAGAGGACTAAAATGGGATGAATTCATACTTTAAAGGGCAAAGTGTCTAAAATTGAATTTTAACGACCAAAGTAGGAGGGCATCTATAATATAAGGGTCCAAAATAAAATTTATCCAATTCAATTCTACCCTAATTTTATGTCAGAATGACTAACATTACCTCATGGGCTTAGTTTTAATGTATCTCCTCAACTAAAATCAACTTTGTGAGTTTCAGTCCTAAGACACTAATTTTAGCATAGTTTTTTCTTACAGTTATTGAATAAACACCTGTCCTTGAACCACATGATGTTTGAAATATAAATGAGCAAACTAAAGGGGTTGAAATGGAAACAAGGCTAAGGTTTGAGATTTGAGAATGACCCATATTTAAAAGATCTAATGAAAAATATATCTAGAAATGTTCCTAAATGTTGCTTGAAATTATCAACTAAAAGTGAAGTAATAATTAAAAAAAAAATCAAGACCAATAAGGCCTTACTGAAAAAGTTTAGGAACCAAATAGGCGATTTTCCCAATAGGGAAATCCATATAGGCCCTAGCTCTGATGGGCGAATCCGCTACATTTTGTGGGCATGATGTTGTCGTACGACAAAAATTTGTTTTACGTGTGACAAAAACTTTTTCATTTTTTCTTGGTGGGGTGAGGAGACCTTTTCTTTTTTGTCCTTTTAAGTAGGTCACTCTGAAGTGGCATAATTTGAGCCATAAATCGAAATTATCCCAAACAATCAATGCAAGTACCAAAATCCATAATGAAGTCCTAGCCATTTAACACTTTGTACCTCAAATTGAGAAAAATGACATTAGAGGCAAAATGAAATGAGTAAAGAGTAAAAATATGATATGCATGCTTTGATACGTAAAAATATGTTTCACTACTTGATTTTTTGTTTGAAAAACTACCCATCTTTGTAAATTTACTCCATATTAGCAACCCGAAAACAATAATAATAATAATAATAATAATAATAATAATTAGGGCTGTATAGCTCATCTCCATTGTGCTTTGCCGATCTCAACCCTTGATATATACTTCAGCATACATGTTTCTCATCTAAAGCTATATTGATAGAAGTTGGAAACTCGAGGTAAACAAACACCCAAAAGACAAAGAAGTAGAGCGATTTGATGCTTATTGTTTTTTTTTTTGTTCCGACCCAGGGGTGTCCTGATCTTATGGACTAGACTAATCCCCTACGGCTGGCAGAGTCCTGCCCAAGGATACCAACACGTTATCAACGAGGGTTGAAGTGAGAATCTGCCGCTAAAGAGCGAACGGCGGAATGAGACGAGCTGCCCGTTGGGGGTGGGATTTGATTTTTTCAGAAATTGAAATAAACACACACACACACACACACACTTAATTAGACTAAGCACGAGAGTTAACAGTTGGGGGCGGAATTTGATTGGACTAGACTAATCCCCTGCGGATGGTAGAGTCCTGCCCAAGATACCAACACGTTGCCAACGAAGGTTGAAGTGAGAATCTGCCGCCTAAAGAGCGAACGACGGAATGAGACGAGCTGCCCATTGGGGGCGGGATTTGATTTTTTTAGAAATTGAAATAAACACACACACTTAATTAGATTAAGCACGAGAGTTAACAGTTGGGGGTGGGATTTGATGCTTATTGGAATGACGAATAATTGTACTAGCAAAATCTAATGATGAAGACGTACGGATCAACAAAACCAGCAAATCTTTTGGAATTTAGGGCTAAACTTGCCCCGCCTGATGTGTGTTATTCGTCGGTCCTCCCTTTGGTTGCATTTGACCAAGGCAGAATTGAAATTTTTTTTTATTTTACGTGAAACAAGTTTAACATTTTTCGTGTGAACAATATAATGTGGAACAAAACAAAACAAGTTTTTGCTTTGACAAGACTTCCAACTATTGTCCTATAAATCTGTTACTAGGAACTAGGAAGTGGCACAACTTGCTTGCAACTCGAATTCAAAGCATCAAACCTTCTAACATGGGAAGTTTCAACATCCATCCTGATTTCCAAAATGAATTCTCCTATGCCACGAGTCCTCTAGATCCTGAAGAATTCAGAAGGCAAGGCCACATGGTCATAGACTACCTGGCTGATTATTACCAAAATATTGAAAAATATCCAGTTCGAAGCCAAGTAGAGCCAAATTATCTCAAGAGTCATTTGCCTGATTCAGCTCCATGTAACCCTGAACCCATTGAAAATATCCTACGTGATCTGCAAAAGCATATCATTCCAGGGCTTACTCATTGGCAAAGCCCTAGCCATTTTGCTCTTTTCCCATGTGCTACTAGCACTGCCGGATTCCTTGGGGAAGTGCTAAGCACAGGTTTTAATGTTGTCGGTTTTAACTGGATATCATCCCCAGCCGCGACAGAGTTAGAGAATATTGTCATGGATTGGTTTGGAAAATTGCTAAAGCTTCCAGGTTCCTTCCTATTTAGTGGTGGTGGTGGAGGAGTTCTACAGGGAACAACCTGTGAAGCCATGTTATCCACCCTTGTTGCTGCTAGAGATCAAATGTTGAGAAAAATTGGGAGGAATAATATTGGAAAGTTGGTTGTTTATCTGTCTAATCAAACACATTTTTCTTTCCAAAAAGCAGCCCAAATTGCTGGCATAAATCCCAGTAATTTCCGAGTCATTTCCACCACAAAGGATGACGAGTTTAGCCTTTGTCCAAATTCTGTAGGTTCTGCAACTATTGCGGATGTTGAAGGTGGACTAGTCCCCTTGTACTTGTGTGCTACAGTTGGGACTACTTTATCAACTGCTGTTGATCCACTGGGACCAATATGCAACATTGCTGAGGAATATGATATGTGGGTTCATGTTGATGCTGCATATGCAGGAAGTGCTTGTATTTGCCCAGAATTTCGCCATTTTCTTGATGGAGTTGAGGGTGCAAATTCCTTTAGCCTTAATGCACACAAATGGTTCTTTTCTTCCCTGGATTGCTGCTGCCTTTGGGTGAAGGACCCGAGTGCACTTATAAAGGCTTTGTCCACAAAGCCTGAAATATTGAGGAACCAGGCGACCGATTCTAAGCAAGTTGTGGATTACAAAGATTGGCAGATAAATTTGAGCAGGAGATTCAGAGCCTTGAAACTTTGGCTTGTACTAAGAAGTTATGGCGTGGTTAATCTTCAAAAATTCATAAGGGGCCATGTCAATATGGCTAAACATTTTGAACAGCTAGCGGCCATGAACAAAAGGTTTGAAATTGTTGTCCCTAGGAAATTTTCTCTGGTTTGCTTCAGGATTTCTCCATCAGCAATGAATCAGAATTGCAAGATATTAAGTACTGAAGAAGATGTGAACCTAATTAATCAAAAACTTGTTGAGTCCTTGAACGCTTCTGGCCATGTTTACATGACTCATGGTGTAATTGGAGGAATCTATTTTATCAGGTTTGCTATTGGGGGTCCCCTTACGGACTATAGGCATGTGGACATGGCATGGACTTTAATAGAGGACCATGCAGATGCCTCGCTGAAGGCCTCCTGAATATTTTGTGCTTTAGCATCACTATTTCTCTTATTATAGCACTAGAGACTGTTTGAATTTCCTTTTTTGTTAGACAAAAAAAGGGGGAAAATATATGTTAAGTTTCATATTGTACGCATTAATTAGGATTTGAGTGAATCTCTCTTTAAGCCAGATTTGAACAATTTGAAGTATGCAGTGCATAATTTAAATATAGAAAAATTAATATATGTAACTTTGTTTAGTGTGTATATATATATGACATCATTTTTGCCACCAAGAACCATACGGAACTAGCTATATCACATCTTTCAAGCGTATGCCCTTCTAGACCAGTTCCCAAACACGTTAGACATAAATAGAGCAAGCATCTTATGAAGCCTCGCAACCCTACAAATAATAATGTATTAATAGTAAAAGTGCGTACCTTAAAATTATGATATAGAAAAGAAGTAAATTGATCTAGTATATAGATTAATCTTCCTTTATTTGGTCCCAAACTCTTTTTACTGATTTGCTGGTGGTATTTTTCATTTTATGAATGGGATACTAGCATATAATTTATGTCCTTAGCGGCTAATGTGAGGACACAAGAAATCTCAACGACATTTATGCTTGCTATTGCCAACAATACAATCTAGCTATTCACAGTTATTAAACCAATGGTTATGAAAATTCTCTCACTATGTTAAAATTGCTCAAATAACAGCAAAGATTAAGCTAGCAATTCCAGATTTCTGCTGCCAATTCAAGAGCTATGATTTGCAGTTATAGCATTAACTAGGAAGGAATTGTGGCACTATAAATAACAAGAAAAATTAATCCAAAATTGCAGAAACAATGTATTTTCAAAACGTTAATTCGTCTTATCATTAGTCTACTATTAGTTCTTCCTGTTATCTCTCGAGTCCCCATCAATTATTCATTTTGTCCCCTAGGTCCTGATCAAACCACAAGTCTGAAAGATTGTAGGGCATCTTGGAACCATTCATTTGTCACTGAAATTGGTTGTGCATACATATTGTAACGCTACTTCCGGTTGGACTGATCCATCATCTTCTTGCAATATCCCATTCAATAGAGCGGTAAATTGTACCGTCTCATCTTCCAATCCAAAAGCATCACCAATCCCACCCACCAAATTCGTGGATTGAGCACCCTCAAGGGACGCATCTCTGTCAGAAGTTTGTCCGTCCATACCAAATAACTTATCAGACATAATTGCTTGAGGATTGATAACAAATCCCTCATAGTTATTCAAAGAATTAGGCGTCTCAATTGCTCCATCCGTACTAGCTCCCATGGCCAAGTTAGCGCAGCAGCGTTCCCTGATGTTTCTTCTTCTACTACTCCGCTTCTTGGCATCTTACTTGGGTCTGATCTTTGTTGCACAAAACTTGGCTCCGATCTCTTGCCTAAAACTTTAGGATTCTTGGTACATCTCATGGAGCCAGATTGATTAACTCCTTGTTTGGCTTCTGCCACTTTTTTCACCTCAGTATATTTTTCATCATCTATTGCGATCCGGCAAACAACATAATCTGTAGGGCCTATGCGATCCAACAAAGAACCAGTGAGTGAATATTCATGCATGATCTATCCACCACCTTGAGGCGAACCAGAATTCAATACATAGCTCAACATTTTCCTCAAACCAATTATCTCTCCTCTAGAGTTGGGAATGTCTTGTGCCTTAGCTTGTCCCTCCCATGTCCTGCAACCAGCGGTTTTTGCAGTCCTATTGGCACTCATCTTGGACAGCTTAGTAAACACATATGCCATTCTTTTCGTACGCTTCTTTCCACTGTCATCACATAATTGCCAACGAAGATCATCAGCTCCAAAAAGCTTCCAGGGAGAAGCATCAGCACCGTCAAGTATCTTCTCCGGGACAACATCCGTTGTATGTTTTTGCTGGTTTGAAGCCTTTAACCAGAGGAGGGTGATTATTTCTTCCTCTGTTGGCCTAAAACGAAACCCTATCAGACAATCTCGATCCATATATCAACAGCTGCTACCAGTAAATTTCTGCAAATCCAATGTATCTCTAAACTTTACCAATCGAAAAAATATAGAAATTTATTGAATCTAGTAGCTACTAGTTTATGAGTTTGTTAAAGATTTGCAAGAAAAACAACGAGAGTACTTAGATCAATACCTGAAGTCTTGACTGCTGGAAGACAATATTTAGGGTTACGGCATTAATCTGCATGATTATATATACTGGTAGCAGGAAAAACCTATTAGACATTTGGAAACTCGAATGCGCAAAGGAGTAGTGTCCTTAATTACAACGTTTTTTTTGGTTAAGGCGGTAAAGATGTTTGTTTGGGACTTAAAATTATGTTTATTTGCATGAATTTACTTCGACTCCATCCAGAACATGCAGTTTGAGAAAGCTCGTTGATAAGTGTACGAGAGATAACTGATAAGTAGAATAATGATCAGCAGATCATTAGAGTAACACAAAATGCAAAGGGCGGTGCAGGTCAGTGAAATGTAGATGTGCTTGCTGGCAAAGGCTTGAATTGGGAAAAATATGAAAATCTAATAGGAAGAGAAAAAATTAACTAGAGAACTTTTATATGATACTCATAATTATTGGATTCATGTACACTATGTTCATATTAAGCACAGGAGGGAGGGTTAGATTATGTGATGAAGTGAAAGAGATTGTAAGTAAGAGATTTTGAATTCATAACCCCCCACTTACATAAAATAAATAAATTTAAAAAATGTTCATGTTAAGCATCTAAACATTGCACAGTGAGTTATTTCTAATTTTATTGTGTTATAGAATATATACCTACTATTAGCTTATAGAGAGGAGTACAGAAAAACCTTTATAAATTAATAATCTTGGGATCATATAGATTCTATTAATTTAAAGTGGTATTAGTTAATTAATAAATTAGTAATTCATTAATTTATCGAGTGTACTTGCAATTCAAAGAAATACTCATATAATTAACTAAAGTTTTATTTTATTTTATAAAAATATGAATTATTCAATTAATTAAAGGAAGCTAAATCTCTAAGAACATAAACCAATCTATATCTACTTGATTCGCAAGTATAATTCTAATATAGTCAAGTTTAGAAGAAATTTTGCTAGCATCACGTACTGAAAATTCTACTAATGATGAAGTTGAGGATGATACAATAGCTCTAAAACCTGTTACACGGAAGGAAACACTTAAAGCATTAATAAATTTTCATAATTTCTTGTTGCAATAAGAGAATTGAAGTCCAAAATTTTTAGATGGGATCAGAAAAATTGGGAATGAGATTCAAGTTTTAAATTTTAAGAAAAATAACAATAATAGAATCATATTTAAGGAAATATGATATGTAATTTTAGTAAATTATTAATTTATGATATAAATGGACCAAAGAGTTTTATAAGGCTTTCAACAAATATTATTATCTTATTCTTTTATTGAAATTATTAGTTTAGCTCGTTAATCCAAGTCAAAATCAAGAAAAATTATTATTTAATAAAGACTATTAATTTATTGAATATTACTTTATAGAGATTTTACTATTTTACAAGAAATTAAAAGCAACAGTATAGAACGTGAATTGGGAAAACAATTGATACGCTATTCCATCAATTATGAGAAGTTGACGATTTAGATTCCCATTCGAGTAATATGAAAGGAGACATTAAAAACAATCAAGAGCATTGGAATATCTGTGGATTTGCCAAAGTAGTTTTCCTTCTAGTTCTTCAAGGGTCGCTAAGTGGTATCCTTATCAATTTGCAAAATGCTCATGTTTAATGTTGTTCAATTGGACAACAAAACGTGGTTTAGTTGGTAAGGCATTTCACAATCACGAATTTGAGTCATCAAGAGAATAAGTAAAAAATTATTATTGATCCGCTTTTAAAATAAAAAAGGTTAAATAACATATAATCCTCTTGTGATTTTGTTTATTGCCATGTGACCCCTCTAATATTTTAAAATATTCATTTCACCCCCACAATTTTATGTAAAGTGAAAATTTGATAAAAATAGTCTATAATGTCGTTTATTGAAATATTAATAGCGTCCTTACTTAAATGCTAAATCAATAAATGACTTAACTACCTTGTATAAAAGTATAGGAGGATTATGTGAATAAATATAAAAATCAAAGGGGAGTAAAATAGATATTTATATAAATCATAAGGGGGGTTACATGAAGATTAAGTTTTTATTACACTTGCTTTTAAAGTGTTTTTGATATAAACACCGTAACTAATTGTGCGCTCTGTTTATTTTTCACTTTATATAAATCATAGAGGGTTAAATGGATATTTTGAAACTTTAGGGGAGGTCATCTAGCATTATGTAAAATTACAAGGGTTTATAAGCAATTTATGCAATGAAAAGGAAAAAAAAAATGTAGTGTTCAATTGGTCTTTAACCAAAATGGAACCAATTCAGATGTTTGCACTTGGACTTTTGTTCTTACCCCAAAAAAGGCAGCCCTTAGTAGTCATGGATAGAGATAAACAATGTCACTCATTTATATTTTAAAGACTACATAAAAGGAAATGAATAAATAGTCAAGGACTAACAAAAAAACTTGATTTTTTCTATTTGGAGCTATTTGTAGTTCATTCTAACCAATGCTACAGGTACTTTGAACATTGCCATCCCTGTCAAGGTATAGCCTTACGGTGCGGTCACCACAATGTCTCATGATTGGTCGAAAACCCCAGGATACAATTTGTACCTTGACCAACGGGCTATCTTGTTGGATGATGGCCCGAGCAACTTCTTCATTCACCCCAACCAAATTTAGCCAATCTTTCTCGAGCACTGCATTTGGCATATTATTTAAACTTCATCGAGTTATTTTGACATAAATGTTAGTGTTATACACATTTAGAAATTTGAAGATCTATGTTATGGAAAAAATTGAGGAAGGGAAGGTGGACAGGCAAGTGTGTATATCTATACTTTCAGACTTGGATCAGGTATCGACTCGATCAGAGTCAAGGGTCGAGGGTCAATAGATTCAATCGGATTCGATCGAGGGTTAAATCGGATGATGTCATAAAATAAAAATTATTTAAAAATTAAAATATTATATTTAAAATACCTAAGATCATGTTAACATTAATCAAGGTATATTCATATATATTTAATGTTTCAAATGTATTTAACAATAAAATACAAAGAAATTAGAATAATCAAGGAGCGATTATATTATTCAATGAATAGTAACAAGTTTTGAATTAAAATTATGGATTTGATTGAAAAATAACACCAAACTTTAGGACAACATTTATAAAGTATGAAATATTTGAGATATATTAATAACTTTTAACAACTTAAGGGTCAAAACATAATATTGAAAATGCTTTGACCCTATATCAGATGTAAGTGCTTTGACCCCACATCACACTTCCCATTTCTTCCCCTACTCCTAATGGTTGACGCATTCCATAGAGCATTTCATCTTCCTCCTTCTTTGCCATTCTGCAACTCCTTTCTTCTTCTTCTTCTTCTTTTTTTAATTTCATTTTCATTCTTATTTAATTAGTTATTTGTTCTCAAACCCTTGAAATATCATGCTTTTATCTGTTTTCTTCAAACTTTTCTCTTGTCCACTCCCTTTTTTTCATTTTTGGGTCTTTTCTTCTTTTGAATACAAGATCTAAGTATATCTTGTTCTAAAAAAGGTTAAAACATTCATTTTTTATACTTGAATTGAAGTCAAAGAGCGAAAATGGATTTGCAGAGGACTGGAGAGCTCACAAGGATTTGGAGTTAGAGGTCAGGAAGGGAAAAAAATTTTAAAAAGGAGAATAAGAAAAACCTAATTTTTACTAGTTCTTCAGGTTTTCGATCAAACCCGGTTTTGACCAAGTCTTGACCAATCCAAGTTTTTAAGATAGTTCGGACAGGACACTTAGCCGATTTCAGGTTCAACCGGTCGGACAAGCCGGTCCGGTCTGAGCTTAAAAAGATGGGTGTAAGTGAGAAAATGAATGAAAGAACGTTTAGATGTTTGTTCACCTCTTGGACGACATGGATACGTAGATATGCAAGGTGACCTAGGCAGCGAGTAAGGCATTGTTGTACAAAAGTTCCAACTCTGCGTCTTAGTGTGTTTCAAAGAAACCGAATAGAATCTTATAATATATCACTCAAACTGTGAGCATTGAAAGAGCAAACAAATTCAAGATATAATAAACATAACGAGATTGAGAAAATAATATAGGTAATCATTATCTAATCTTATTCATTAAATTGTTGCAACATAGGAGATTTAATTTATATTTCATGTAATTGAGATAGAAATTTATATTTCATTAAAGAGTAAATTTTATATACACTGTCAGTGTTTATACTATTATGGTTGGATGGATAACACATAAACAAATTTTGAATTTCAAATTCAAAATTTGCATATGTGTTATCCATCTAACGATGATAGTATATACACTGACAGCATATATAACATTAATCTTTCATTAATAGATAGTTTTGAGTTCCTGCATTGAATGGGAATAGTGTTTTACTTTTACTACTGCAAAGTAAGAGGTTAGGTTTTGTATTCATAGAAATTGACATGGTATAAATCATCACAATCCTTTTATTCTTGAAGTATGTTATGGTAACTTAATTTCATTGAAAAATATCTAGTTTAGATAGTTCGAAAAAAATTCATCTATGAAACATCAATGGAAAATGTAGGGTCCATTTAAACTAATGTATTTTGCAGTGTTTCTAAAAATTTCCACTATAGATTTTGTTCATTGGAGCATATTTTGTTTGGTATATTTTGTTTAGGGTTTTTGGGGTCGCATTTGTCTCCCCTTTCTCTTAATACCAATTAACCACTGTCGGGATAAGAGGAAGTATAAAGTGATAGGCTTTGAATTTGACACCTCCTACTTATCGAAAAAAAGAAAAATGAACCACTGTCTACCATCATCTTCTATACTACTATTGCCACCTTCCCCATTCTTCCCCACTGCCTCTCATTGACTCCATCAGCACCAT